TGCTGTTGAGACTTTCTTGGTAACCCTAAACTTGGGGGTTAGCTTGGGGTTAAGCCCTAACCCTAACCCTAGATGCAGCGACTACCCCATACACTTGTATATACAACGCTGCGAGTTTCGCACTGCTATTGGGGAGACTGCAAAAGACTTTCTTAGTCACTATATATGCTATGACACCCTCTGGGGCCTATATTGGGGTGTACTTGGGGTTAAGTCAACCCTAACGCTAAGCCTAAATAGTGCGGCTTATGGGTGTCAAAACAACGCGGGTTTGGGGGGTCAAAATGGCCCGATACGGGCAGAAACCCTAACGCTAAGCCTGTTTCGGCGCGGGTTATGGGATAACCCGCGCCTCATATTGGTTAGGTAGCCGGACTTAATGTGCTAGATGCACCAGATTGCGGTCCTTAAAATGCTCTAGCCATTGCGTGCGCTTAAACCAGAGCGTCTTATCAGTCTTTGCTGTCTCTCCTACGACTTGTTCTGCGTCTTCGAGTTGCTTTTAGACTTGTTTGTAGTTATTAAGTTGTTGCTTATTAACGCTTTGTTGCTGCCCACTTCCGCGACTAATCTTAGCATCCACATCAACGATAAAATATTTGCGCAGCCCTCCACTATTGAAAAACGTCTGAACTTTAACTAAAGTGAATAGACTACTCTTGTCACTAATCCACGGAAGCTCGTGTGTTTTTTTACAGTGCTTCCGCATTTCGTCGCTGCTTACGGTAATGTAACTGCATGCTGTACACCTAAGACCATCTAACGGCGCCCCTAGCTCTTGTATTGCTTTCGCTGGCTGCCTGGGAAGTTGAATTGTGCTCGGCTCTGCTGTGGAAAATTGATTGAAATATTGAACAACCTCTTGTCGCTGTTGTACGGGCGTCTTGTGCTGTTCTTGTAGATGCCTGTTAAGATTCAAGACGCCTGTGCAGTGCTGCCTGCACACAAGCACTTTATATTGCCTAAGAAAGCAAAATACATCGTCGCAATTCTCCTTCGTAACGATCTTTGGCCAGTGCTGCACGTCTGTGGCGCGCGCGTTGCTGCTGTCATGCTGCTCGATGGGCGCTCAACTGTTCCATGTGGGGTTCTCTATTGTCGCGCAACCCTAAGAACGCAACCCTAATAACAACAAACTCTAGCTGCACATAGTAAAACTCTAGTAGCGGGTTGTGCATGCGCTTTTAAGTTAACTTTGTATAACACAGTTTTTAATAACGATAAAAAAATGTCGTAAGGCAGCTGTGTTGGGGTACGCGGGGCATCCCTTAAATATTCGCCTGATTTGGTTTTCTACCCTAACGCTAAGCGGGTTCTAGCGCGGGGAAGGGCTGTCCCGTCGTATCATATTGGTTAGGGCTGTCCCGTCGTATCATATTGGTTAGGGGCCTTCTTGCCGTTAAATGGGGGCCTTCTTGCCATTAAATGGGGGCCTCCTTGTACTTGAATGGCGTCTCCTTGCGCTTGAATGGCGTCTCCTTGCAGTTAAATGGGGGCCTCCTTGTAGTTAAATGGGGGCCTCCTTGTGCTTGAATGGGGTTTTCTTATCCTCAAATGGGGTCTCCTTGCTATTTATAATCATTTCTTTCTTATTAATCTAATCTTCTCCTATTCTCCCCCCTCTATAGTTCCTAAATGCTATATATCTTAAAACCTAACTACATATCTAATTCTAAACCCTATTTTTACACTTTATTATATCTTAATCTATTTTTCCCCCTATTAAATATAATTTAAATAAAACTCTTTACTCTACTAAACTAACTACCCTTTTTTTTTTGTTCCATTAGAGTCTAGTGAGCTCGAGGCTATGTAAGACTTTGGCCGAGGCCGTTCTAACTAGATTTATTTACAAATACGAGTTTGTGCTTGAAGTGTGTCTGTGGTGCTTCGGCCTTTGTCTAGGTAAGCGATAGCTATCGCTTACTAGACGCCTAGTGCTAAAGAGCATTTTGATAACAGAAAGAGATGTTAAGAAAGCAAA